GCAGAACTCAAATTCTGGTAAGAAGACCAGACTTAATGGTCTGACTGAGACTGCAGGAACCCCGGAAAGCATGGCCCCTGGATTCTCAATCAGCCTAGAATTAAAACAATTTATGAGGCCAACTCTTCAGAGAGGGATTGGACTGGACTGTGGGACATAAAGTGATACTCGTGCGAAGTGTGCCTCTTAGCTCAAGTAGATACAAGAGACTTAACAGGCAGCTTCTGTCTGGAGGTGAGATGGGAAGGCAGAGAGGGTCAGGAGCTGGCTGAATGGACATGGGGAATCCGAGGTGGAAAGGAGGACTGTGCTGTCACAGTATGGGGAGAGCAATTAGAGTCACATAACAATGTATATATAAATTTTTGTATGGGAAAAAATAAAAATTAAAAAAAAACCCTTTGGAGCACAGTTCTACTCTGACATGCACGGGGAGTCACCGTAAGTCAGAATCAAACAGTCGACTCAACAGCAACTGGTTATTTTTTAAGGGCAGGGTGTGGGGGGAAGAGCCTTTCTTCTGCAGTAGCACTGTGAGTGTTCACCCTGTCAACCTTTAGGTTAGCAGTCAAGCTCAAATGGTTTGCGCCCCCCAGGGGCCTCTGATGAAAATATACGTGGTCTTTATTATGATTGGGACAAAATTTATGAAGGCTTCCACATGTAGTCGAAACTACAGGCAGTGTCTGGAAGGGCTTTATTCGTTTTTTCTGCACAGTAACTGTCCTTCTTTTCCAGCACAGCCTGGGTCACATGGGCCCCATCCTTTGCCTCTGATTTTATCATTCTCCCTGCTGGAGAGCTTGTCAATGGAAAGTTGCCTGCATCAGTCTGAAGGGGCCTTTTTAAGTTCCCGAATGTCATACGATTATAAGTTTGTGACGCTTCGCTTTCCTAGTTCTGTTATTGTTGGGTGCCATCGAGTCAACTCTGACCCTAGCGACCCCAGGAGACAGAGTAGAGCTGCCTCATGGGGTTTTGTAGGATGTAATGTTTACAGGAGCAACACATCTTTCTCCCGTGGAGCCGCTAGGTGGGTTTGAACAACCAACCTTTTGGTTAGCAGCCGAGAGCTTAACCGTGGCGCCACCGGGCTCCTTTTCGTACTCCCAGCTGCAGCCGTTTTGCTTGTCTTGTTTACAGCCTGCAGGAATTGGTAATTTTTTGTCCCCTGCAGGTCTCACCGTGACTGTATTTCATCATGGCCCTCTACTTTGATCACCGCGTAGAAACCCCCGAATCAGTCGGCTCACCTTCCCACATAAGCTGGCACCCTGTCCATCCCTTCCTGGCAGTTGCCTCTGTCAGCAGCACCTCGGGAGGCAGCGTGGATGTTTACCTGGAACAGGTGAGCCCCGGAGCAACTGCTGTGGCTTCAGTAGCTTCTTGCTCTTGTTTCTTTTTTGTTCACGTGTGTGCGTGTGTGTGCATGTGGGGTGTGTGCAGTGTGTGTGGGGAGAGTGTGCAGTTGAGTGTTCACGTGTGCTTGTGCAGTGTGTGTGTGCGTGGAGGTGTGCAGTGTGTGTGTGCATGTGCGTGTGTGCGTGGGGGGTGTGCAGTGTGTGTGGGTGTATGCGTGTGGGCGTGCGTGTGCACGTGTGGGTACGTGTGGGTGTGCAGTGTGTGTGTGGGTGTGCAGTGTGTGTACATGTGGGTGTGC